TATTTGTTACTCATCCAAATGACTTCTTCAGTCTCAGCTGACTGCAGGTTTCCAACCTTATGACCAGTACATTTGTACGATAACTGAAACTAGCACCACTGAATGAACAATAAGCTGTGAGGTCAGTTCCTTGACCATTAATATGCAAATTGTCATGACCATCGATCAACAACCATTGATCAAAGATCACTGATCAAAGATCACTGATCGTTGCCCATGAGTACCTCACAGAGAGTTAGGGAACGGCGGCAATCACAAAGATGTGCCCTTAGGCCCCCTCCTCAATTCAGAGATGGTCTTTTCCCTTTCACCTAAATGGTCTCCTTGACTCCCCACTTAAACCAGCGTTCCTCCCTGAGTGACGAAATGTTTCTCCCACTGAAAACACCACGTCCAGATGAACAGAATCAACCTTCTGAAATTTATTGGCTTTGATTTGTCTAAAATTGAAATCATTAACTAATGAACAAATGGTTTCACTGTCAGACCATCCTGTCCTCATCGCATCTGGTCAAGTGTCCACAAACGTCATCTCAAATCTTCAAAATGGGCCTTCAGAAACCAGTGGTTGATGTAATGGTACCGGGGCGCCCCCAGTGTTTAAACATGGGGAAGCAGAGGTGTGAATTGTTGTAAGTGTGGTGTGATGAATGTGCGTCTGACAGCCGAGAGCTGCAGCCGTTTAGATCTCCGTGTCTCAATCACACCACAGGTATCTGTGTCCATCTTTTATAGTGTCTACACCAACATGATGTATAGAAAAGGTGAGCCAAAGAAACTAGTCTCTTCAGAACTTGAAAGAACTGACCTGACCCTTCGTTTAACAAAAAGAACTGTTAGATACATTAAAGCTGGTATAAAATCTGCTTAACGTGTGTGTTTGTTTGTGTGTGCAGGAGTCAGGTCTCTCTTTGTGGGTGGCCAGGCTGATGACACCTCTGGGCGACCTCCCGGTCTTAGCAACAGTCACAATTGCCTGTCTCATTGTCACCACGCTAACAGAAGTGACCAGCAACGCCGCCACCATCACCATCTTCCTCCCCATTCTCTCCCCACTGGTTAGTTCAGTGTTTTATATTGTACAGATCTGCGGAAAATTTGATTCTCGGAGTCTACTAGAGTAGCTTTGCATGATTCACAGTTGAAAATAATCTTTGTTTATCTTACACTGAGGAGTCCCTCAGTTCACGGTCCCTCCCTTTAACCCTAATTTCTTTGACTGTAGCTAACCAACAAACCAGGTAAGGGATAAGCAGTTGCCATCCTACAGACCTGTTGACCGAAGCTTTGCTTGTCTTGAATATGAGCGTTCACTAAACCAGCTCATCATCGCTTGACACCAACTTCATTTTTTTCTAAATCAGTTTCTTCAAGGACAAACTTTTCACATACGTTGTGTAAATGCATTACACAAATTTTTGCATAGTTTCTTGCAAATTTCTAAGTGTGTAAAGGCCTTAAGTGTTAATTCCCTGATATGTGCGACTGTGGACATACTCTGCTAACCACGTTTGACACAATGAGCTCTTCGCTCTCTCTCGTCTGTAAATGCCAACCTCTGGTTCCAAAAAGCCAACATACAGTGGCTTGCAAAAGTATTCGGCCCCCTTGAACTTTTCCACA